ACAACAGAGTAAACAGAAAATTCGGAGAAGAAGGGGCGTTCGTTAGCACCGCCCCCAGGAACACTACGTGGTTTTATATAATTTAATTTTCAGTGCGGAGATGAAAAAGCATAAGCTATTTACAATCAAAGTCACCTTTAAGAAGAGGCGTTGAAGGTGTTAATTTAAAATTTAAGAAATATTCTGGAATCGTGAATTTGACTTAGAATTTGACCAAAAAAAACTAGTCTGAAAGTAATCAATAGTATAAGAAGCAGGAGTTTCCAGAAATTCCTGTGTGATGTTGACTTTTACCAGAGAGATTTACAACTAGAAAATTGACATAATTAAAAACATAGCTTATCGCAAAATAGTACAACTAGTACAAGATATAATCACAGTAGAAACGGAGCAACTGTTTCCGTACCAAATTCACAACCGCAATAAGAAAAAGGTGAAAGAAATTGTACTTAGAGGAGACCGCCAAAAGGAATAAGAAATAATCAACCTGTCTTATTATAATTTTTGTATCGAATGGCTTGAAGTAATATAATATTTCCATTCTTTTTCCCAACACCAATATAAGGAAACCCTTACATTATTTCAGATTAAATATAGTTCTATTTTTATCGTTTAACAGTCGCGAAGGTGTTCTCGGAATCGGTCACATAGTCGTCTTCCCATTTCACCAACGTATAACTTTTTGCAATGAGTGCAAGTTATAAAGTGGATGATATTGGCGGAGGTGCACGTGAAGTGATCAGTGATCTTAATGGATCTCTTGGGTCCCGACATTTTCTCATCGTTATGAATGAAAGGACAACTTTTGCATCGTGAGCGAGCGCACTGGAAATGACACTAGTGGAGGTTGAGAAAAGATACTACCAGTCTCTGAATCGTTTCAAATTGATTTAAAGTTTTTAAGAATGATAGAGTGAACCGAGTAGTTGTGAGGGTGAAATGTGAGATTGAATGGAATGCGTTAAGTATTTCTCTTCGCAGCCTTTCGTAGTGCTGACTGTTGATAGGAGCTCCTGCTGTCGATCAACTTTTTGGGCGCAGTGGTGGCCCGCTTGAACAGAAACGGGATAGCCACGTTCATCGGAAAATCAGAGTCGTCACTACACAAACGACGAAATCTGAGAAACAAACAAATCAATTTGTCTGCAAACCGCCTCCCGGTTAGCTCAATTGGTTAGAGCGCCGGACTGTTTTGCAGGAGGTCGAGGGTTCGAGCCCCGGCCGAACCAACACTCAAGGTCTTAAAATAACTGAGGAGAATGTGCTACCTTTCTATAATATTAAGAAATGGACAGTCTTCTCGGATAAGGACGAATAAACTGTAGGTCCCGTCTGCTGTATCTATTAATAATTTGGTTAGCCAGGGGACGTTAAAGAACCCAATCACGAGATTACTGTAATGTGGTCTAGCCTGTAAAGTATAGTGTAAAGTAGATAGCAGGGGACGTTAAAGAACCCAATCACGAGATTACTGTGATGTGGTCTAGCCTGTAAAGTATAGTGTAAAGTAGATAGCAGGTCCACATCAGCAACAGCTGCCATTTATTCAACCTGCCTTACTAAAGAAAAGATGTATATATGTATGTATGCATGTATGCATGTATGTATGTATGTATGTATGTATGCATGTATGTATGTATGTATGTATGTATGTATGCATGTATGCATGTATGCATGTATGCATGTATGCATGTATGCGTGTATGCGTGTATGCGTGTATGCATGTATGCGTGTATGCATGTATGCATGTATGCATGTATGCATGTATGCATGTATGCATGTATGCATGTATGCATGTATGTATGTATGTATATAAACCCACACACAACCCACAATTCCTCCAATCGCCCTCACGAACGCTCGAAATGTCATCCTTTTAACTCTTTACGGTGGCCAAGGAAATTAAAGTTACGAAAATTTTCAAGTGCGTGTTGGCTGGTTTTAATGTATGATAGTAAAGTTTTGACGATAGATGCCAGAATTATTTCTAAATAGCTGGAAATAAGTTCGGTGGGACCACTGCAGGCAGAGACGATAGGTCGACCTGGGTTTTTATGTTTGTGGATTTTAGGTACAAAGTAAATACATAAAGTTCACACGCATTCCATTCACTCTCACGTTAACGCTCACAACCACGCAGAAAGTAGAAATAAATGACAAGGACGCATCCAAACTAGTCGTTAGACACTTTAATCTCCCTAATCATTCTAAGCAGCAGATGGCAGTTTGTGGCCTTACCCTACATCTAGGAAGTTCGGAAAGTAGCAAAACTCTAGAACAAAAATTTATCTTTGAAATCGTCACACTTAATTAATCTCCACGGTATGAAAGAGCGCTTTGTACTCAGCTAATTTATTCTTGAATAAATGGCTGTAAATATATAAAAATCATGTATGTGAACTGCGGTTTAAGAAAAGAATATGGAAGCGATCCCCGCAGTTTTGAACAGTACTTAGCTAGTGTGAAAATAAGGCCTGAAAAAATTTAATTTATTCTTGTTTTCTCGTAACCATATTCCTATCAATAGCGTATCTCCATTTTCTCAATATAAATCCACACGCAAAGCAAAATTTCTCCAATCGCCACTCTTTGCGGCGGCCAATTTACGTTATCAACTCGGTTGATAGTACTGAATTACCCTATTTACGTTTTAGCTACTAGTGAGCAGACACATCGCTTGAATCAACCTAATGGCGGGAAATGCAGGCTTGGTTTAAAATCCAGGCGTTGAGGATCGTTCTTTCCCTTAAAATTGGTAGTTTGCAAAAATAATTTTGAAAGCCAATTACAAGTTATTTTCACACCAATACACTCTAGTTTATTCAGGATGTGAAGTACAAGTTTCGAAACATACGCCGGATGTTTCGAAAGAGTAACTTAAAAAAGGCGATAAGGCTAAATTATTGCGACAATTGTGACAATTACGAGCAAGGAACTTTCAAAACACCTGCCTTTGCCCGATTTGCCTCTATTCTGGTGCGTTTACAATATTTTCCTAATGACATACCATGCTCATTGGTCATTAAGGAAACAAATATTCATAACGGATGGGAATCAGTTCATACATGGCGTACGTATGGCGAGATGTAGATACACACTATTCGCTCTGTCGAAGGGCTCACGCTCTAAACGTCAGCTTTAGAAAGTTTGCGATGGCAAATTTACATTATCAACTCAGCTGATAGACACAAATTATCTTAGAGATGTACACAAGAAATTTGCAGGGCAGGAAAAACTTAAGAGTCGCTCGAGGTTAAAACATATCCGTCCGTTTGTCCACAGTCTTAACAAAAAATACATACATGCATTCTCTATCAAGATCGTAGAAGGGTAACTGAAAATCATTCTAGATTTACCTGTAAGCCAATGATAAGATTTATTAAGAGTGCCATTTAAAATCATCCAATGTCCTGCAATTATTCTTGATTGAATGTTACATAATATAGAAATTTAGTCAAGCCTCGCATTTTTTTTCCCGCACGTCTCAAGGGCACAACGCCTTGCCCCGGCCAAGACTAGAACCCAGGTCGTCCGACTCGGAGCCCAGTGCACTGACCACTGGACTACTGGACAAAGCCGTGGCGTTGGCGTGCCCGCGGTACAGTTTACCACGCATGTTAAAAGTAGCACCTTGTGCGGTCGGTAGTACGGTCGTACGGTCGTACATCCAAATTTTTTCGGCTTGATGGGTTTCTACTATATTGTATAATTATAGGGCTACGCGAGCTCCGCTATAATTGAGCGATAAGGCGAGGAAGCAAAATACAACTTTTTTTCAAACTTTCTAAAAATAATTCCTGGTGATTCCGCTTAAATGCCCTTATCAAAAGTAAATTATACCTATATAAATTTGCTAATAAGTTATTACTCTATGTTTAAAACTTAACAAAAAAAGTAGCCTTAAAACACCTTAAGTTTAAATTTACAGCCTGGTTTCTGTGTTCGAATCGGTTACGTCAGAGCACAAAACCGATATCAGTTCAGTTTCCATGTCCAGAAACTGAGACTTCATTTCATCAAGCAAGTCATCTTCATAAATAATATTTTTGATACAACAAAGAAATTTGATTTTAACTTCCTCCTCTGTGATGAATCTAAGAGGATAATCAGTGATTCCAAGTGTTGGCGAAACTGGCGACATATCAATGTTATTCTTAGCTTCTTGGTTGGATGATTCAATAAAGCGTTTCTCTTTACTGCTCAGTTCTACATCAGGACTTCGGCTCTTTATAGAGCATTTTTTTGAGAGATGTTTACACAGCGACTTCATTGTTGAACGGATGTGAGCAGGAAGCTCTTTTCTTCTATCTCTTAAGGTATTGCACATAAAATTCCCAACTTCTACATCGAAAAAATCATCCCCTTTACCCCCCCTGACCTCTTCGTATGCATCAACCAAAATAGCTACAAATATATTGATCAGGAAAAACATTACGACAACCAAAAATAAAAACAAGTAGAGCGAGCCCATCAATGAGTTATTCAAGTAAATGCTGACGTAATCTACTTGCTTGCCGACAGACATTTGTAGCACTACTCGCAAAGAGTTGAAAAAAGACGAAAAGATTTCTAAATGAGCTCCAAAACCGAGAAAACCAAAATGACTGAAGGCAATAACAGCAATGACGAAAAGCAACGAAAACGAAAATATTGACCTGGCTGACCTTTTAAGAGTTCCTTGCATTTGACAGATATGGGAATTAAAACGGATTAGTCTCAGAAGCTTTAAAGTTACGATAAAAATTGCTATTGACAGCCAAGTAGTTCCGTGATTTAACCAACGTACAATGTAATCAGAGCCATAGGTCTCATAGGGGTTTGAATTAATTTTCCTAACAAACAAACTGGTGTATTTCCCTTTAAGAAATGACATTGCAACTACCACGATACAATCCACAAGGAGAATGACCTCCACCCAGTTCCAAATTTGACGAAAGTACCTACTCTGGCGAAAAAACTTGACTACCGCAGCAATTAAATGTATCACAATGACTATAAGAAAAAACAACTGGCACACTTCATAAAACCTTTGCCAATGTGTCTCTGGTGAGGGAAATACAGCAAGTGTTCTGATGTCCATTTTTGTACTAGGCTTTCCACTAGGCGATGCTTCGTAGACCAATCTACCACTACAAAAGAGAGACGTAGCTGGATCATATAAAGTGAACTCTATGAATACAGCCACAGTTTGTCCATCAATCCAGTTATTCTCGCTAAGTCCCTTTATCACTTTGGATGCCGATTGACCGTTGTATCCAAGGTCTGCTATATACCCACCGCCTCCATAACCGTCATGTGAAAGAGTTTGTGTCATCGATCCCGATTGGTATCTCCACGGTTTAGGACAGAGGTCATCAATAGAGGAAAAGAGACTGTAATTTTGCAGCTTAATCCACTTTGGGAGATGATATGGAGTCACATCCTCAGTATCGGGTGAGTACTTTTGAAAACAACCAGGAAAAACGTCTGTGATGTGGGTGTTGTAAACATCATTTGGGCAGCTTATCCCTATCAAGTGAAGGAAATTTAAAGTCACTTCTAACAAATAATCGTAACTAAAGATAACGAGCCAGTGGTGTGACATATTTGTTCTTATATCAAAACCTACTGAATGCACAGCCTACCCACATAAGTTGCCATTGTAACGAAAGGTTTTGCTTTTGTGACAAGAATTTCATGTTTGGAAAAAGAAACTGGACGATTATCAACTTTAAAGCAGTGGTATAGAATTTCATATACTCAATCTGGCTAAAACATTCCCATTTTAAAAATATTTTCTGCTATACCCCATTCACACCAATAAAACACATTAAGTTAAACCGTGTTTAACTGAGTGAAATTCAGATTAAACAAAGAACTGAAAAAATGGAATTTTCGATAGGATTCACGTAATCAAGTAAAGCAATCGCTAACTCGTATTTTCAGTGCGCTATATTTGAAGCCGCCAGTTTAAACAGCTTCTTTGAAGAAAAAAATTTTAAGCCGTATTTAACAAAACAGCTTTGAAGCATCTTTAAGCTTTGATGTAATGGGATCACTGATATGGATACTATGCTATTTACAGGTATATTTCTTTTTTCCCTCTTACTTGGTTTCGATCTTAACTGTCTCAGCCGTGGCATTCCAATCAGGAAATTCTTCTTGTTGCTGATAAATCCCTCTTTGTATTCAAATGACCTGCCATTGTACCAAGTTACATCGTACAAGCCAGGAATTAGCGCCTCGTCTACCCAATTCCACAATGAAGACGTACTATCCACCTAATAAAACAAAGTATTTCAATCGTCTGTCGACAAGATACATTGATTTATTATAACTCTCAGTTAGTACGTATGCTATGATCGATCATTGAAGGGGGCCGTTTTTTACTGTAGCTAAATTCAAAAGTCTGTTTGAGCCTAGCGTTAAAGTAAATAACACCTTAACTTCGTTTCTCAGTCCATACTGTAATTTATGGAACTTGGCGCTTGGGCCATAAATCTGAGCGGAAAAAAATCGGTCCGCAACTCATAGTTAAACTCGGTTAGTAGGAGGTATATATTGTCCTTTTTTCTTGTCACTCAGATGAGTTTTTGTGTCCCAAGCTCGGGGTTTCAAACAGACCTTTTTAAAACGTAAAAGTTTTAACACTTCTACTGGTTTCAATGGAGTATAAAATTTTATTTTTGCAATTCACCCTCATCATTGATTTTATAACAACCACTATCGATACTGTAAAAACAGATCTATTCGAAAGCTTAAATTACAATATATGGAAATGCTTTTGACCTCATCTAATCCACTGAAGATGTCCATCGTGGATTTGGTAAACTGGAATCGAGTCGGATGAATATCTCCATAACATATGACCATAAGCAGAAAACTGAATATTGAAAATGATAGTACTTCTTTGATTGCTTCCATCATGCTCCATTTTTGGCTATCGGCTTCTTTTTCTCCGGCGAGTTCCTTATCCCTTTTCCTTTTAGTTCGAAAATTCTCCCCCTTTTTACTTTGAAACAAGGAAGCTCCAATAACAGGATCCTGTTCTAGTGGTTTCCTTACGAGAAGAGACAAAAATGCAGCCAAAGTAAACACCTTAATTGGTTGTGTGAGTAAAACATCCTGGAAAAGGGACACTAAAATAGATGTGAGCCACTTATTTGAAGTGTCTGCTCCCCACATCAAGCTATAGAACACTGAAAAGGTTGCACCGGTCAAGGAAATGATCAAGCTGAAGGTCCAAGCAACGTAGATAAAGAAAGGTGGGAGACAACCGGGGGGCTTAGGCTTTTTATCGACTTCTCTGGGATCGTACACCTCATCGGAAGATTTTCGTTTTGTGTTTCTGTAAATAAGTATCACAAGGAAGTTAGCTGGAATCGCTATAAAGCTGCTCTGTATTCCAATCTTGAGCTGTGTCCAGCTCATGACAAGGGGGCCAAATCTAAAGGAGTCTGTGGGTATTCGACCAAATTGGTAGAACATAGCATTGGTCACCATTGCTGTAAAAAGGAAAGCAAGGCAACAAGTAAGACGCTGGCAACGAGTAAAAGGGCTGTGAGGAGGCCTCGCAAACACAGATATCCAGATGTGTCCGTCTCCCAGACTTCGGGCCGTGCGGGAAAAGAAAAGATGCTTAAACTCAGCAAGCTCATCTTCTTTTGCAGCCTCGACAGATAACTCAATGGAGCCACTCCTTTCGTCCAGGGCAAGCCATTGGTTCACAAAAAAGTACCACATTTGCTCAGTTTGCTGATCTGTTAGAACAACTTGTTGAAGAAACCAGGCCGGATTGGACCCGATGTTGTCATGCCAGATGCAGATATCTGTCACTTTTCCCAAGGAAAAAGGTAAGGTTAGGGTAAAATTGTTTACACTTCCCCTAGCAAAATATTTTCTCTTAGCTAAGGGATCAGTCAACGTAATTGGTCCACTGCTTCCTTCCTCTCCATTGATGATTATTCCTACATGCGCTGAAGTACCAAATCCTTTCCATACTCCGGTCTGGATGCTTAAAAAGTAAGTGTAACCCTCCGTTTGGGAATTAGTTATATAAACGTTGGCGACAACCTAGAAATAGTAAAAAGGACTGCGTGACAAGGTAAACAAAACATTTAAGCACTCAAACACATCGAATTGTAATTATATGGTAATTATTATTCTCCCGACAAGTAACTCTGGAAAATGCATGCAGCGCTGAACCAGAGTGAACTTCACTATCACTAATTTATTGATAAAAAACGACCTAAATAATCAATTAAAAAATGAACAATTAATAACTATGGAACCGAAATAACTTTCAATGATTTACTGCACTTGTAGGCAGAAAAATATAGTTCCTTATCTTTCACTGAAGGCCCTTTTCACACTTACCAGTATGAGAGGAGAGTTCGGTCCCGTCATTCTGGGACCAATTAGCGTATTGATTAATGAATGACTCGAAGTTTGGAATCCAGAAGGTCAACTGGCCACTTAAGCGTTACTGACCTTTAAAGAGTCCTTTTTATCAGCTCGACGAGCAGCCACGAGTCCTAAAAGGTACACACCAAATATGAATAACACAGTGGAAAGCACGACGAAATTTCCGGAGTCAGCGATCCTCTTGAATTCTTTCCAAACCTTTTCAAAGTCGATAGGGTTTGGAGCCACAAAAATGTTCCCACCAAACGCTGAAAGATGTTTACAGAGGCAGTGCAGCTTCCCATCCGTTATTTTCCAGCCAACCTGAAGAAATGAAAACTATCAGTATTGCATCTTTATGTGTTTTAATGGGCCTTTAAAGCAAAATTCCGGGGGTCATCGTCATAGCGTGCGACTTGTTTAATTTGTTGTAATCATAAATGAATTTTCGTAATTTTCGACAAAGTTGCAGATGGAGGGATGGGCTGACTGCCGCATAAAATTCAATGTTGATAACAAATTAAAATGGAGAAAAGAGGCATTTCTTGTGGCTGTCGATCTTACACAGGTGCTCTGATAAGACTAAAGAGCTGGGTTTCTCTGTTGAAGGACCGTTTCGGAAAAACAATAGAGCGAAACAACACGAAATTGCTGATCCTAGCAGTATGCGCGTGTCACATATGAACTTCGTAACGGGCCTTGCCCACCATTAAGTCTCTTTTGCTCAGTGGTAGAGCATCGGAATCCGAAGGTCTGAGGTTCGATTCCTCATGGGGACTCAGAATTTTTTCTTTTTCCCACGCTCGTGACAAGACGAAAACAACTTTCTCTATAACACGAATATGTGTTTTGATTATAGTTATGAAATATACAGTACTCGCACCTTGCACCCCTCAGTTGTCCATGCCTGAATCTTTTCAGACCAATATAAACAGCTCCTGATCTTTACTGACATGGTGTAGTTCACATCTGTCAGTGAATTATACTGGGGTGTTATTATCTCTGGGGCTGGAGGAGGAGTGGTTGGGGGATCCTTGACCCCGATACAAGATCGCTTTTGCCTCCCATTTTTATCTTTACACGAAGTTGAAATATGACGGGTTTGACGCTGAGCAATCCCCGTCATGTTTAGTAGACGTATACCAATAAAATGAACACCAGTGCCACCAGTAATATTGCTTGATAGCAAAAGAACGTTAGGGTTACGGGTGCAATCAGTATAACCAGTTCTGTCTTGATGACGAACGCATGATGAAAAATCGGGAATTCTTGTTTTTAACTTGTAGTTTTCATGTGATGGCTTAACACCACGACTCACAAAGACATCAACAGACGAATTGTTTTCTGGGCTTATTTCCACAAATGCAGCTTGAAAGTCATTTTCAATTTCTATTTTGTGGTAGAGCAAAGGACTGGATCCATTATAGGTTCGCTTTAAAAAAAAATGTCGCTGGCTAGAATTTCCAGTTTCATCATTTTTTTGAATTCTCTCTGGAATAAACAGTTCAATGGGCTGACTAAGGTCAGATATTTCTAAGAGGGATCCGTCTTGCCGCTTTAAATTAACACTCAGAACTGAAGATTTGATGAAGTTCGAGCGGTTGTTCCACACGTAAGGGTTTATTTGCAGCGTTGTCATCTAAAATAAAAGTAATGATAACAGAACAGCATGACGTTGTATGAAAAAGATAACAACAACAACAGCGTGCAACAACCAAAATTTCACGTTCTATAATCCTTTTGGCAAACAGCCGTGAAATTCTTTCTGCTTAAGACAAATTCCAACCAAAACAACAGAATAAAAAAAAAAAAAAAAGAAGCAAACTAAGACCATAATAGGCTCCGTAACTTCAAAGTGTTCGATCTCCTGATGGCTTGACAAGGAAATGTTTTAAGTCCATCATAAAACACAAAGTTGTTGAAGATTGTTAATCCTAATGTGATGCGAATATTACCGATCGAAAGAGCTAGTTTGCACGGCCTGAAGTATCGTGATATAGATAAACAACAACTTGTGAAGAAAATGGGCTAAAGAATATAAAAGTTCTATCGACAGCTTACTTGAGTGCCAACGGATCTCAAATTGGTTTCTTTTCTTCCAAACAGCACTTTCATTGGCGGAAAAGTAACGGCGCCTTCCCCATCATTTCCATAAAAGGTTTCATTTCCAATTTTTGATGGTGCCTTACTCTGAAGTGTCATAGTGATAATATCTGTTTGGAGCGTTGTTTTCCTCTGACCTTGAGCCTGTATAGAGAGCAATGTAGTACCAAGCATGTCCGCCGTTGATAAAATCTTCTCCGTGACTTGTTTGGCCTATATGAACGTGGAATAGAGAACATTTGTATCTGATCAGGATCTAGCATCGAATGCTCCATAGCTACTTCCAAGCAGTAGTGAAATTGTTTCAAAAACGACCACCCGCTACATGTAATTTTACGTTTGACACTTGCCCTGCAAGATCCGGTACGGGAAGGAATTTCCAGCAAAAATGGTTTACTCTGATACTTGGGAAAGCCTGAAAACTCATTCAAATATATAGACAAAGGATTTACCTTATAAAATTCTCTTGTAGCTTGTTCAGCTTCTCTACGCCTTCTGTTTATCGTTTGTGTTAGGTTTAGTTTGCCTCCATCTTCCTGATGAAGAGCTTCATGGTAATTTTTTTTAGCGAAAGATGTAGAAGCTGTCAGAGTGTTTGATATTCCTTCTAAAATATCTGCACTAGTATCTTCAATAACATCTCTGCCTTGATAAGCACGGAGGAAGTCAGTCGCTTTGGAAAGTAACGAGGCAGCATCTTCCTAAGTTAGAGAAGTAAAGGATATTCATGGCTTTAAAAACAACTATGCATTTACGGCCACATATCGTGACTTAGACCTGCTTAAATCCAAACCTTTATTTCAATACAACGATCAGAAAAAATTTTCGTACAAGGAACGTTTTGCGGAATTACAACTCTGTCATAATAACGATGAAGATTAAATGCCGGATATGCAGCAAGAAAAATCCTCATCAGCACCATGAACAGTAAGTGTTCGGTTGATTTTTCTTAGCAATGGACGTGAGAATTGAGCAAAGACCGTCCTCCGTTTCAAAAAAAAATCAATATACTTGCCAGAGCGTCCATAGGGATTTGGACTCTGTTTTGTGTTGCCATGACAACAATCGTAGATAGTCCTGTGACCTGGCTAACATCCGCGATTTTGATATCAGCCATAGCCTTCAATATAGAGTCCTTCGTCTACATTGGAAAGAACATACACCTGTAGTTTTATTATTGTTGATTATAAACATAACTCCTTAGAGGAGAAGTATGGAAACAGGCTCATGGACAAAACTTCGACAAAAAAGGAACATACTCCGTCTTCAACGTGTGAACTAAGAATAGCTATCGCCAAAGTAGCAGCTTCGCTGAATCTTGTCTCCTCAAGGAGGCTCCCAAGGTCGTTCATCAATGTTTCAACATTCATTGAAGAGTCATTCTGAGGCAATGGCTTCACCTAAGATTCGGAAAAGACCGTGAGATTTAAAATTTCCTTTGCTATGTTCACAATTTTTCTAGTCAATTGATATCTATGTAAATTCTTTTAAATCGACTGACTTGATAATGTAAAGTAGTCGCCGTAAATATTTTCTACAGCTAACGTTTCGAGCCGGTTAGCCCTTCGTCAGCCATGGAAATTCTTTATGGAGGCCAATATACATTATCGATTCAGTTGATATCATCGAATTATCTTGTACTGCCCGCCACCGACGCTGCACCACAGTTTCTTTGGAAACTTACCCACTTTGTTCATTTGTTATCAATCTTGCTGTTTTGGATGCGCTGGCTACGTTGATCTTAGAATGGAAAACTGGGCTTTTTCTTGTAATGAGGTGAGATTTAATAGCTTAGGTTTCCTTATTGGTTAAGCAGACGTGACACACAGACACTCACAAACATCCCTAAGACCCTTAGAAGCCAATGTGAAAATCATACAACAAGCGAATTTTCCAGTAGTAGGAGTAGGCCGTTTTATTATAATTTAACTTGCCTTTACGGTGACAATATCGCTGTAGCTTGATTCTCTTACATCAGTTATGTCAACTCTGAGGGTGACATTGTAATCTTTAGCCTGATACCCTTGTGGGAGCTTAAGTGATATATATGGTGCATTTTGAGGCCGTGCAGCTGTCACAATGCTCCTTGAAGTATTGTAACTGCAAAAAAGGTGATGACGTCATCAAAGGAGCTTATTAATCAAAAGAGAGAGAAGCAGAGATAATTAGGAACTTTTCAGGAAAGGTCGGCCATAGCAAGTCATTCACAACTTCAAATATCTGAGAGATAAGATCAAACATCGAACAAAGAGAAATGCTGAATTCAATTTTAACAGGCGTCAAATGGAAAATGCACTGCACCAAAATACATAGTTTTTTATTGTTTTCAGCTGGCAAGAAGAAAGAACTGAGCATTTTTCCTCTTGCAAAACTTACCTGAATTTGAAAGTCAAATTATCGTTTCCAATACGCCAGCCAGAACAGTTCACAAAAAATAAAGTTTTAATTACAAAGCCTTCTTTCGGCTGGACATTACACTTCTCTTTAGGAACTTCTAATGGCGCAACGGTTTGAAACACCATACTGTCATCTCTAAAATATCCACCAGCTATTTTTATGGAGGCAGCTATCTTGTATGCGGTATTCATTTTGAGTGAATACTCATTCTTTTTCATCCTGCCGGTGAGAACAAGGGTTGGGTTGTCTAGGTCCGTGAGTATTCGTTCTGCTAAGTCTGCGATTTGCACCCACGAACTCTTGGGATCCGCTTTCTCATATAAAGACCAGTCATAGCCAGTAACTTTTTCACAGAGGTTCCCTCTGCATCGGGATTCAAATATCATTCGCTTGGTCGGAATAACCTCAGGTCCACAATTGTAGATGCAGCTGTAAAATTGAAATAAATGTTACTGTCACGACGTTTATAGAAAATCGCTACTGATGAGCCCCCTTGATCTTGATCCGAGTGAAAGTCGACGATAACTACTCTAGGTGCTTGGTATTGCTTAATATATTCAGCAATGCTCTGGTACAATTCCTGTTCAAGGAAGGAGACAGCTGCGTGCGAGATAGCTACGGGTTGCAGATGTGCAGGTTTGAAATAGCAAAACGCTACTGTTACCAAACGATATAGAGTGAGACGAAATGAATCATACTAAATCAGTGGTCTAGCTAACTCGAGTTCCTTTCGCACATCGTTAAAGCCTTTGAAAGTCTAGTCAGGGGGTCATAAATTTGGACCCTGTATAGAGAATCAGTAATGTTTTTTAAGATTGCATGTGCATGTCTGACTGAAAATACAAAAAGTTAAGCATAAAAACCTTGCAGACGTTAAAGGAAACTAAGTCTCCCTAATAATATTAACACGTTTTCGTAAAGGGATATAATGGCCCTATACACTATCAGTTATTCCTTTGACTGAAAACCGGGCAAGAAGACAGATATTTTACAAACGAGGAATAATTACCTTATTGAAAATGATGCATGTGGTTTTTTTATCACGGTCAATTCATGAACATCCCTAGAACTACTAGCTCCATCTGAGACATCAAGTTCAAAAACATAAGTTTGTCCACTTTCCATTTTGTCGACTTGAACAACAATAGCAGTCTTGTGACCCATAAGTCTTCCCGGGCCGTATCCATAGCAACCTCCGGAAGCATTTGCGTTCCCTTTTGGAGAATCGACAAGTGGAATGGTAACGCGTTTTGGCAATTTTTCGTAGCTTCTTCTGCAAAACCAGGTAAATATCAATGAATCTGCTAGATCAGAATTTCGAACATATGGAAGGGAGCCAACAAGGTATATATTCCCTCCTCCAATTTCCGCTGAAGATACTCCTGAAATTCTGGCAACGAAATCTCTTCGCGTGACTTGTATGAAACCATAATCATAGCCGATTATCCTGAGATCCGCCTTGGCTCGTAAAATGTAGCTAACGTGATAGAATCGGTCGATAAAAACTCTTCGTTGCGTAGACCAGACAGGTTTACTTTGTTTCATGGCGTTGCGCATAAAGCTGTAAAATGTTCTGTCCGTTAATTGTGCTTTGGTGATGAGCCAGTATGATAGCGATTGTGCCACAGAACTACATCGCGAATGCTGCACGTCTGCTTGAAAGTTAATCACGTCGGTTGTATGGATCACCTTTACTTGTCCCAGTACCTTGCTCAAGTTTACGTCAACATTTGCAGGGAGACATTTGCAGTTTGCTGAGAAAATAATTGGGTTAAATCAGGATAAAAATCTCCTGAAATGGTATAGCTTCATCAAATAATGCGTATTACTCATACTGTCTTTCAGATAGTCTTGCTACCTCACGCTGGCTTCAGATTTGACGTCAAACAATTTCTGCTTACATTTATGACATTATTTAAGGGAAAAACCCGGGAACAGGGAAAGTGTGCCCTGAATGGGGACGTCCCTTGTTTTGGTTAAATATAAGTAATAAGAGTATCCTAAAACAGTGGATAGCGTTAAAGGCGCGCGCTGATTAGAGAATATCACTTGAGGTATATCCTCGGATATTCTCTAGTTTTAGCTAGTAAAAATATTTGATGGATCTGAAACATTGTTATTCACCTCCGAGAAATCCACCCGAGATTTGCGCCCGAGAATATTGTAATCGCTGAAGGAATTTGCAAGACTGAAATGAGGCGAAATTTCCTTTTTGTGCTGTAGCATCCCAAATTTTTATTATAGACTGAAATAACAATTTCTCGAATGGAAGTGTTCTTTGAATGAAGGTGTGTCTTGAATGGAAGTGGCCCAGGAAAGAGCTTTTGGTGCCTATCTCCTTTTAGGCCTAAGCTCGGGGTGAAGAGAACTAAGAAATATCTAGGGCTCAAGACCAACAACATACAAAAAAAATCAAAATGGCATAATCACCTGTATCCAAAAAGTCAATATAGGTCTTGTTAAACAACGATATGGAAGCTAAGTCTTTCTTAATCTTTTTCATCAGCTGAAATTTCACTTGCTCGCTGCTGCAGGAGATATTTATGTCTGCCATCAATACAGCCGTGGTATTGAAAATTTTGTCAACACTCTGCGGACTTCAGAAAAAAAAGAATAAGAAGGAGAATGGAAGAAGAAGGAGAAAAAGCAAAGCTACTAATTAATTTCTGAAAAATGATGCTGACTTTATCTGTTTCTTGCATGAGATGAGGTAAAATAATAATTATTCAATCCCCTATAAGGTTGTCACATCAAGCCTCGCCATCGCCAGTCAGTCAGTCAGGTTCCCTAAGACTGGTCCGTTTGCCCTTCGTAATACGGCTACAAAAGATGTGTTTACCAGACAAACCAAAACTAAAGTGTTCATCATAACTCTTACCCAAATCGCTGCAATTCGGCGGAGAAAAATCCTAGAAATCCGCGAACCATTCCATTGAACTACAAAAGGTGTTGGTCATCTTGTTAGATGGATAACTCTTTACATGAGTTCAGCTATTTCTGCAGCTTTTGCTATGCACCGCTTTTAAAGATGATATTTCTTAATAAATGATGAGGATGTTAACGAATAATTATGAACTTGGTCTTTCGGAGGTTAAATGCTTGACCAGATTTTGTTACGATAATGTTTCTGAGTATAATTTTCTTTAAGAGGAAATGAGCTTAATTTCCGCTCTTTTCCTTTCTGTTCTACCAGCATTTCTTTTGATATTCCCGGTCAGTCCGCCTGTTTGTCTTTGTCCTTATTTTCAGCATTTCCTTATCCCTTTATCCTTTTTCTTCTCTTATTTACTTTGTTCTTTCTTAGTTTATTTTGTGTATTACCTTTGCCATCACTTTAGCCTTCATTTCTTTGTATGGCGCACTCGTTGGAATGAGAAGATCCAGAGTTAAACGCGTGTTTTTGATTATAAGCCATGTGTTGAAGTGATAAGCTGAAACATAAGAAAATGTAAAACATTGACCCATAAAGCTTCAAAAGTGTTAAATTTGTAATTTTTTTCAAGTATTCACCTTGAATATTTGGCAAACTGTTATTAAAAGTTCGAACACATTGTCTTAAATCAAGCAAGATGATAAAGATTTTCTCGAGTGCCTTTCTTCACGTAAAAAAATTATCGATAGAATGGACATTCAAGGTTTTTAAGAAAGTAGGTAGCGTTAGTCCATGCAGGCCAGCGTCTCGTTGATGGAGATGAAGACACACTGAAGGTGCAGATCAACATTTTATCATATGTAGGGAGAAACATATCAGCAAAACTATAAGGAAGGACAAGAAGGGAAAAATAACACATTGAGTGGTGTTACGGTCCCAAATTTCTGTTCCTGAAATATTTTATTTATCAAAAAGAGAAGGGGCAAACATTCAGTCACAGGCATCAGAACATACCATCCTCTTTAAACATTCTTGCCTCCTGAAATATTTCGCTGCTGTTCAGCAATCTCTTGTAGACCTTCATTTTTCTGACGAGTCCATGGAATGTTTCCTTGGTATCTGCTTTGCTTCCAATCTGATAATATGTACTGGGAGAACTTATAATACTATAGCCTGACCTGCCAGGAAGAGGGGATTGCTCTCCTCTTTTACTTCCGTTGAAAAACATTTCAGCAACCTGTCTCTGCTGATCCCACGTGACTGCCAGGTGCATCCAAACGCCCAGACGTATTCCCCTGCAAGACAAAGATGAACATCACCTCCTTTTGAGATGGGTGGAGTAAATATGAAGATGCAATGAAAATTTTTCCAAAACGATCGGCTTGTTTAAACAAAATTAGATAACCCTGTGAGTGTTTTGACACATATGACAAACCATAGAATCCGAAACAAAATGAAGTTCTGCCATAGAGTACTGAATTATGGTGGGATTTTCAATGAATATTGGTATGCTGTGTAAGAGTTTGAATGACCCATTACTTTTTCACGTTCTTTGAGTTTCGTCGTTTTTAATGACGATTGATGTTGCACCCGACAATTTGCGAAAGATCATCAGAGTCCTGCTGTACATCGCTGCGCAAGTAAGAACCCTTAGCAAAGGTTACAAAGAGGAATTAACCTACCAATTAGCTTACCTCCTGTGCATTACAAGAATGTCTCTTCCCAGTTCGTTTCTTAGATGGAAGAGGAGTGACTTGTGGATACCGTTGACCCAAAAAGAAAACTGATAAGGTCTGGACCAATCAGCATAGATGTACCCCTTATTTTTTGCGGGTACTAAGACCTTTACCCAGCACATAATGGTAAACGCCGAAAATTGATAGAGGTCGGTGGATGGTGTGTCGGCGTATGAACCCTTGCCATCCAGATACAAAGCAGTTACGCCATCTTCAGATTTATAGGAAGCATTATTTCGCAAGCTGGGATATGAAAGTATTTATCATTAAAGATGGAGAGTTAAGAAATAATACCACAGTACGGTTCAAAACTGTCAAACTGTTACTCTAATACGAATGACTGAGGTAAATTTGCAATTGTCTCTGGGGAAAAAAAGAGGAAACTTATGGAAGCTGGTAATAAATATAAAATTCAGGAAACCATGAGCACAGGAAACATTTCATGAATATTGTTGTGTAAACAAGAAGTGACCAGTCAGCGTTAAGCCACAATTTAGAAAAAACTCTGGTATTGCAATCACAGTTTGTCTTTGACTTACATTACATCTTTGTCAGTGCCGTCGAGGGTCCAATTAGCAACAAGGTCTGTGACATCTAAATAATATAAACGAATGTTTGAAAGGCTCAACATTTGACCAGTAAGATTAATTATATGACAAAGGAACTAGCTTATCTTTCTAAAACAAGACTTCTTAAAAGTCAATAGGCGTAAACAGTAGTCTAAATAGGAGTGTTAAATTCATAACAGACGAAGATCGGGATACGGTATTCATGAAAATAGCGAGGTTATTTGCATTGCACGAATAGCGTTGTAAAAAGCTGATTAAGGCAAATAATCTCCTCAGCCTGTGTTTTGATAATCACCTGACTCTCAAAAACATCTCAAAACAGAATTTCCGTTTTTAAAACGCCGATACTTTCAAAAAAACCATTGGATAAGAGACAATTCTTTTAGTAACATCTTGCAATCCAATAAATTACTTTTCGCATTGAGTACGAAAACACTAAGAAATGTTCTCGTAAGATCTTCAGGAACGTCTTTCATTTATATGCCAGTGAACACCAATAAAGGTTGAGAATGGCCTAACGAATTTTGTTGATCATTGCACTTCAAACGATCTTCCACAACAAAAGAAAAAAAAATCAGGAACTCTTGAAGTAAGAGGTGCGGGCACTGCTTTGCTCTTCTCGATAATTCAAATCTCTTCTATTCTTCGCACGAGTTGTAACTGCTAGGCTTCGTGACAATTTGCATATTTTCGATAGATCTTTTATCGTGTCGAACACGATGTCCAGTTATAATTAGAATATAAATGATATGCAGTTTCTTTTCTTTGAAGGTTTCAGAATTAATTGCTTAAGAGTCTTAAGTTCTTATCCGCACAGTCATCCCAACTTGCTGTTCTCACTAATAAGACTTGAAATTTTACACCACGGCAGAATGACATACTAGACCCGTATTAGCACTTTTTTTGTGTTTGTTTTTCATTTTCACTTGGGCTTTCAACGCTTTTCACGTTCAGTTGCAAATCGCACTCAAGTGCTTAACACGCATGCGCGACGTTCTGACTGATGAGTACATGGTATGGTGTAACGGTGGAAGAAGAGAGGTCTTTGCTGTGCAAAATAAGTACAGATACTGTGTATAATACGCTTAAAACGCATGCAAAATATGCACACAGCGTTCGCGGTAAACTCACAGTAAAAGATGTCGAGAGTTTTCGGAACGGGTCGGTCTGCGAACCTTATGAGAGATCTCTTTACAAGCGAACATTTATGAGTGAACCTTTCATAGAGAAACATGCTATATCAACTGAGCTACCTGATGCTAATCGAGAGAAGCATAAAAGCAAATCTCATCGTGTATGTAGACGTGATCGTGAACCAAGCAGAATACCAATACGAAGTTTGAAAAGTTTAGGGAACAAGCTTAAGAGCAGAAAGGTTAGAAAATTTGTCTATGCACGTATTCTTTCATGTATACCCATGTCATCTACATTGTACTATTACGTAAATGCTTAAAATCTATTAAATAAAACGACTTTTAAGTTTAACTGTCGTGAAAGAATTCGTCAAAGTATAAGAAAGATAAAGTATCGGGCCAGTCCATATTTAATATCTTTTTCTTGTACAAATTGATTTGTCCTATTGCAACTATAGATTAAGTAGATACATAGAAAAAAATCCTGGTCCTCCAATGTTTGTTGACCCAACAAAAGAATAGCAGCTCCATATGGTCAAGGTAACGAGTTAGTTTTTGGGTAGAATGCAAGACAACATTGTGTTGTAATGAGTTTGTGCTCTTTGATCTACAATAGCACACTTGGGACCAGCTCTACAATTGATCTTATGCAAATAATGAATATTGGAAATCAGTTTTTTCAAGTTTGTCATAATTAGTCAGACAGGCGTTGTTAAGGCAGTCAGAATTACCAACAGCATTAAATGTGTTTGATACTGATTATCAACTGGAATACAGTGAAAGCTACTCTGGTACTGTTCACCAAGAAACTGCGATAGAGGGATATCAGTACTGTACCTCTTTACGAGGAGCCTTTGAGTCGTCCATATCTGAAAATTAGCTCTGGTTGTGACTTTTTGTTTTCTTTTAGTGATAAGAAAATAAGCAATTGGTTTTCTTGCTTGGGTTGAGTGTCATCACCCCTGCACTTGGGGCTGTTTATAATTAAAAGCTATCCCAACCTGAAATCTTTTGTTAACCAAGAAAAGGAAAACATAAGGAGACAGCCTATGTGGTAAATGACTCACCCCGCTAAAACCCCTTAACCCGCAAAACAATATTTAATCAAGTTAAAACAAAAAAAAAAAAGGAAATAACGTCTAGTAATAAGTATTGAAATAATAGCCAATAATATAAGGCACTACCTCCCCCCACCCCAGAAAAGGGTCTGTACACTACATAACAAATGCTGTTTTCAGCTCTCTGTATACATATGTGAGAAACCTGCATCTCCGACATACTAAGACAGAAAACAGTTAAAGGGTAAACCAATAATTGCATAAAGAAACTTTGGCAAATGCAGGCACAAAGAAAAAAACAAAGTTTGTTTCCAACAGAAAGCCCGAGTGAACGCAAATTTGTGTCGAAGTCAAGAGGAAAATTGAAAGCAGTTGGGACCAATTTCCTTTGCTTCCAGCTAAAAAATTACGCAATAACTTCAAGATATGATAAAAAATGATAGATGAAAACAAAATTAGGAAGCAGCTAGAAATCTTCACAAATTAAAGCGTTTCATGGGACACCAATGCACATATTATTGAACGATTATGTCAATGACAGAAATAACATTTTAACACCTTTTCAGACCGAGATAGAGGCGCGTTTCAGTTCTCCGAAGGAAACATTACGCTAACCGTCGGTTTCAATTGGAAAAAAACCGACTGTTTTTCTTTCGTAATTTCCTTGCATGCAAGCGCAAATCAATAAGTTTCTTTATGTTGGCTCTTTGACATAAATTATCTTTAAATACGAGCCAATGTCGATTGTTATTTACATCCATTCATTTGCATCTCGGGTGGATTAATAACCGAAAATATCGACGAAAATAGGCATTTCACGCTGTTATCTATCCTCCGGCTTAGGTATCCAGCTGTGTATAGCAACTTTATCATGAACAATATCTTAAATTGGCTTCTATATATATATAACCTACACAATTTTGCTCATAGGGTTAAACAAATAACCAATTTTGCACTTGCGTGACCCCAAAAAGCCATCGTGTGTTATTAAAGGTTAAAATGAATTTCACCTACGTGTATATCTTTTCGGAAATTTTTTCCCATAAGATACGGAGGGGAATTAAAATTTTCTTGAGCTAAAGCGAATCATGTTCACGGTTGCTTATGACAACGTTGGAAAACTGGGGACACATGAAAGTTGGATTTGCGACCCAAGCCATTACTATCACAGCTCTAGAATTAAAGATGTTTTGAAGAGACGGTCAAGCCATAATTACTTTTTCCTCGCTTGGGCTTCGATTAAAATACGAGGGAAGGGTGAAAGCAGCATTTGTGTAGGGATATTTTTGGGGCTTTTTCCGGGACAGGTTATATGCTGTTTTTACACCATAGCAACACTATTATCATGGCAATTCTTGTCTTTTGATACAAAGAGAAAATTGTCAGGAATTGATTTTATATTCATATATCTACAGTCTATTTCCAAACGATTTGAACAATATTCTTGCAAAAACCTTCAAATGACTGATTGTCAGTTGTAATCTCTTTCGCTCTCATATCAATTTCTAAAAATCTACTTAACATGGAAAGTATATATCCCTTTTAAGGAGAGGACACTGAAAGCTACTTAACAATGTAATTTAGAGCACTATTCAATACCTTTTCAAGTAAGGAAAAAGATGAACATCACATGTCTGAATTAGAGCTTTCCCATTTCTCCTAAGATCAGTTACAATTACATTACCTGGACACTTCGTTTTCCCCGAGATAGCGGGATAAGTTAATGTCAGAGAAAAATAAGTGCAGACCCAGAGGTGGTTCATGGTGGCAAGCAACGAGAAAGCTGTAAACTGCGCTACAAAAATTTTTATTTTTGAATTTATAACGTGCATCATTACCGAATGACAGCAATGGGCGCGCTTTGATTGGCTAACCACTGACATCTCATCTACCTAATAACAAAAGAGCTGGAATTCTTTATGTTTTTGTATGTTTGCCTATCCATTTCTTTTTCGTTTTGGCTCACCGAATTGAACGATGAATTATGGATGTACTCTTTCTCACATGAAGCTACCCCGTTGAAAACGGAAAACAACATCGCATTTTGGCTTTGAAATTCTTCCTACTTCCTCCAAACTAATTTACAAAGTTGCCGCCCTAAAGCAACACGTACGAGTCAAAAACAGCGGTGTGTTAGCCAAGAATATTTGTAAGTTTTCCAAATTACCTATCTCGCAATGTTAGTTGTTACCCGTGTCACTCATTTGTGTTTGTGTATAAACGTTCTCTGGTTTGGTACTTACTGAGGTGATAATACTTTTTTTTCATCTTAAAGCTGTTATTATTGAGTTTTTATCATAAATGATGTTGTATTCTCTGTAATAGCGGGTTGTGAAGCAGGATGAGTAATTTTTCTTGTTATAGTCTAATAACTTCATGCCGTGAATGATCAAACCAATGGAACACAAACACTACCTATAATCAAAGTATGCATAAATCAACAAAGCAATTTCCGGTCTGAGAAAACGTTTCTCGTTAGTTAGAGAAAACTTTCGAAAGCAAAATCTTAACTCAATTCTTGAATCTGTGTAACTAAACAGAGTCACGAAGAACTACTAATTATTATTCAGAACAATCAATTCAGCTTAAAAACATTAAAACTGTCTCCATAGCTCTTCACACGTCTGTTCGATGTTAAAGTTAATTACGTTTTCACACTCTGCCACCAAACATTAAAAAAAACATTTCAACAGAACTTAACCTAAAGAGGACAAAAAAGATAACGCTTCCTTTTAAAAAAACATCAAAAAGTGATGGCCAACACCATCATCGAAAAGCCATAAGGCCTCGAGAAGACGGGGTGGCTTTGAGAACACTACTTGATACTCCAGCTGATCTTGTTGCTGTATTTAACGCAGCAGTTGTTGGCGTTGTGTTATCTGGTGCGGTTGCTGTTGATGTTGCTGAGACACGTGAAACAGCCGATTGCGTTGTTG